TTTAACATCCAAAAATTAATGATATGTCTGTGATGTTTGACATTTATTCTTCGATTTGAAAATTATTGATGTCCTTGTACCATGGAACTCGGATCTCTCTTTATTTATTAGCGATCGAAGGCACTTCCGTCATTATTGGAAAAAAGCCAAAATCTTTTATTTATACAAGGTTAATGAATAAATCTCAATTCTATTTAATTATTTTAAAATATTTTAAATATTTTACATTTTCGTATTGTCTTGCGATTATTCCATATATAAAAATATGCTGAAAAAAAAAATAAAAAAAGAATAAAATTGTTTTTTTTTAAATGAACAAAATATTATTCAATATTTTTAATTTTTGTTTTATAAATTTAAATTGTTTTTTGAAATTAAATATTCATTATATATTATTACATAATACTATTTATGTGAATACTATTTGAAATCTCATTTTTGAAATATAATTATAATTATAATTATATTAAATATAATTATTATCTTATCTTTCTTAATTAAAGATTAGATTTTAAAAAAATTGAAAATTTAATAAAAAAAATATCAAATAAATAAATATCAAGTAAAAAGTTAAATAGTGAATTATATATTCACAAATCTATCTGTTTTGCATATATATTTTGTTTTTTTTTCAAATCATAAATTGAATTTTTTCGATGTTTTACACAAATCTATTATAACAATGTAATCCAAAAATAATGATAGATTGTGAGATATTTTATGAGTAAATATTTATTAAAACTAACCTTTTTATATTTTATATTTTAATATGTGTTGAAACAGATTACAATGAAAGCTTAACATGTAAGTTAATAATTTATATAACTTGAAAATGGAACAATGATAAATCAATGCCATGTAAATCATTAATTTAAACTTATTGCTTGAATCGATACCTGAATTGAAACAATATTTTAAAGTTTGTAGTCCGTTTTAACATTTTTATCAAATCATTTCTATCAAATTCTGATCATATTGAGTTAACGACCGATATTTAATATAAAATATAATAACATTTGTACTATGTATATAAGAAGCTTTATTTGAACTACATTCTATCGATAATTGAGATTTTCAGAACAATCTCATCATAGAAATCTAATTCGCTAAAGATTCAACTATACTAACGATTCGCTCAATGAAGTTATACTATTGGTTTCTTCTGCATCATTGCTAGCCATTTTATTCCGCATGCTGACAACTTTAGTCTAAAACTTCCTCTAGTAATTCTAGAGTTTTTGATTTGTATGAAAGATTCTGGATAGATAAATATAATATTATTTTGACATATTACTCAGACCAACCACTTATTTTATAACTTTTTATATAATATTAATTGTTTATAACTATTATTTAGGTATATTATTAAAAAAATATGATCGTAAATATGGAATTTGATGTTTTTTATATCTTTTTTAAATTAAAATTTTCCTTAAACTTTAAATATTCATTTTTTTCTTTTATTAATTCTTTTTACTTTTTATTAATCGAAAAAAATTTTAATTATAACAAATTTATAAATGAAATTTTTTATTCAATAAATTCAAATTGACGAATTAAATCGAAATTTGAAATCATAAATTTTTTTATTGCGCACATTTCGAAAATCGAAATTGTAAATCGAGGTCATTAATAATTAAGTAAAAAATATATGAATATTTTATATGCAATATTAAATATTGATGTAATAGAAAATAATGCTAGAAAAAGAATTTTTCATATTCATCAAAAAGATAATAAGTAAATTATACATAATATACATAATATCAGAATTTTCGATTCTTATTACTATATATAGTATATATCATAAAGTTTATTATACGATTTGTACGCATCGTACAAAATTAATATATTATATTAATATATTTATATATTAGATACTATATTTCACAACGCGACATCATAAATTGATGAATTACATGAATTACATGAATATTTGACAATGCATATATATCAATTTGGCTATCGTTTTTAATAAAAATTAATTTGTTTTCTATTTTCTACTATAATAACATGTTTTTGTGTAATTCATATCATTGCAATATGTCAAATTGATTATTGTTTCCTTTACAGAATATTTATTAAATTGAAATTTGAATATCCAAATATATATATATATAATACTTATAATATAAATTTTAATATTAATATAAAATACTTGGATTTTTAGTCAATTTGGATTAGAAAGATATATATCAAAAAATATATTTTTATTAGGTTATTAGGTTATTTTAAAAATATATTTTTATTAAATTTATTAGGTTAGATTATTATGCATAGATTTGAATATTAATAATTTCTTAGTATTTGAATATTCAATTTTAAATGAAATTCATTATCATAATTTCAACTTGATTTTGAATTTAAATATCTGCAATTGTATATTTTCTTTATTATGTCATGTATTTATATCTATTTATACATTATATTTTTATTTTGTTTTTTATTTTTGATCATTCTTTTATATATTTATATATTTTTTTATACATGATTTCAATTATTTTATGTAAATAATTTGTTACAGGTAAATAATTTAAAACAAACTTTAAAATTGCTTTCTTATAAAAATTAAAAAATATTACTAAATATTTTTCCTACGATTTTTATTAGTAATATACATAATTTATATGTCAAACAATCTTAAATATTCATTTTTCATTCATATGTCAATTATAATATTTTTAAAAAATTTCGTTCTTAAAGATTGTAAAATTAGTTTACAAGTTTGTATCATCTGTTTGAAATATAAGAATAAAAAATATTAAAATTAATATTATTCAAGAAAATCTTATTCAACAAGTTTTTTGAATAATTAATACTTATTTATGAATCTGCACACACTGATCTCATCGATTACTCACTTGTAAGTTATAATATATTTTGATACAAGAAGCAAGAATCACGAAATTTTATGCAATTATAAAATATTATTTTACAAACTTTTAGAATTTTTTAATGATTATTAAAAAAAATGAAATTAAATGTAATATATTTTAATTATAGAAAATTTATATGTATTTCTTTATCGATATTATCATTATAACAAGAGCTGGGCCATAATGTATGTCAGTTCATTAATTAATGATATATTTAACGATTGATGATATAAGATTATATTATATTATATTATATTATTATAATTTATTATATTTAATAAAATTTATATATAGAAATTAAATTTAAAAAATTATTTACTTAACAAATACATTTATTTTATATATGCCGCACTCACATGTGTACAATAACAACGCCATATTGATTATATAATAAAAAAGAAACAAAAGATTCACTAATTCACTACAATAGCGCACCAATTCATATATACCAACAATAATTAAATTTATTTGGTTGGATATTCTGATATATCCTAAAATAAGTTAATTTTAATATTAATATATGGTTATTTACAAGTATTTTTTTTTATTTAAAATTTTATATTTTTTTATCAAAAAATTTTCAAATATAATTTAAATTATTTTTATTTGTCGTATTTTTGATTGATTTAATTCAAAAATTATTAGAATTTTATTATTGAAGAATTACTGAAATTAAAAATGAAATAATAAAAATAGAGAAAGAAATTTAAGCATAAATAAAGATAAAACAAAATAAGTAAAGATAAAACAATAGATGAACAATTTCGTAATAAATGAGTGAAATCGACAACAATTAGATAAAATCTTCGATTCTACAATAAAATGCAAATAAATGACATGTAATGATTTATTGTATGTCCGCATTAGAGAACATATTAATAGAAAACGTATCATATAGTATTCACACTATTACTAACCAGTGTTTTTCTTGTAAATAATAATTATTAGAAAAAAAATGAAAACAAAAGAATTTTTGCAGTTTCTATGATTAACGAAATATCAATTTTCAATATTTTTTTTTGACAAATAAAATAAATAAAAATCAAAATCTTTAATTTTATGGAATTATGCGCCAAGTTCATAACCTACAAAATAATAGGTAATAAAAATAAAAAAAGATAAAGTAAAAATTCTGTATACATAGAACAATGTTTTAACCTCGCATGAACATTCTTGACATAAACTCGTTCCAGTTCATTCATAAACAATTCTTGATATATATTGCATCAATAATATTTATGTTGTAAAAAAAAGATTGAAATTTTTTTGTAAAATATTACTTTTATTTGTAATTAAATTTACTAAAAAACAAAATATATACGACGTAGTATACTTCTTTTTTTATTCTTTTTATATAATTTAAATTAATAAAAATTTAATAATAATATTATAAAAAATATAATAATAATATATAATAAAATAAAAATATAATAAAAATATATAATAATAATATAATAAATATAAAAAATTTTATATTTATATAAAATTTATATAAAATATATTTATATAAAATGAACATCTTAAAATATTTGTACTTTGATACCAAATGTTATATTGAATATACATTTTAATATATATAAATTATATTATTTCAGATAACAAATATAATCAACAAATATACATAAAAAATCAGAAAAAAAATTATTAATTAATTTTTTACTTTAATACAAAATATTTCAATTAATATATAAGTAGTAAGTTTGTTTGTTTTTTATTTATGTTATAATTTTTAATTATTTTTATATAATATATAAATTTTTAAATTATATGTATTTTTAATAAAAGTAAAAAATTAACATAGATGATTTTAATTTTTCTTTTTCTGGACCATCTCTTAAATATTGCAAATAAAAGATGCCGCACAAACAGACAAAAAGAGAAAATAATAAGAAAAGGATAGAGATAAGAATTGACAATTAGCGTTATCTATTGAATGTTAAAAACTTACTTTTAAAAAGATGTTTTCAATATCATTTCAATAGATGGCATCAATTGTTAATTCTTATTTTATCTTATCCTACTTTTAAAAACATGTTTTTGATATTCAAAAGGTGGCGCTGAATTTTTATTCTATCTCTTTTTCTTATTATTTGCTTGGTTTCCCTGAACTGTGTATTGTATAAAGTCAAGTTTACTAATGCTGCATGAAAACGATAGCTCTATAGGGAATCAAATCTTCGAAATAGAATTGATTTAAATAGGTTAACCTTTGTAACAATTTTGTTTACTAGTTATTCTATAAACAATATTATTAAATAATGGTTAAATTAACACCAGATTTAATTCAACAATCCATGCAATATATTAATCCTGTAAAAGATCGGGAATTGGATCTCAGAGGTTTGTATGAATTATATTGAATAAAATATAACCTAAAAATTGTCATTAATTTTTTAATTTTTTTGTAATTTTTTATTGCAGGATATAAAATACCTACAATTGAAAATTTAGGCGCAACTTTGGTTAGTATTTTAGAATAATATTTAACGAATTTTTTTTTATTAATTATATATATTGAATTATTACAATTTATAAAAAAAATTAAATAAAAAATAAATAGAGCATAGTATACAAAAATTTTTCAGGATCAATTTGACACTATTGATTTTTCTGATAATGATATAAGAAAATTAGATGGATTTCCTTTATTAAAAAGGATCAAAACTCTTTTTTTTAATAATAATCGTATTGTCAGAATTGGAGAAGGATTGGAACACTGTATTCCAAATTTGGAAACTCTTATGTTAACTGGAAACATGATTCAAGAACTTGGTGATTTAGAACCACTCACACAATTAAAAAATTTAACTAATCTGTGTTTGCTACAAAATCCAGTTTCCGCAAAGCCTCAATATAGACAATATGTTGTATATAGATTTCCACAATTGAGACTTTTAGATTTCCGAAAAATCAAGATGAAAGAACGTGAAGCTGCAGTTGCATATTTTAGAAGTAAAAGAGGAAAAGAAATGGTTCGTGAAATAGCAAAAAAAGTAAAAACACAAAATTCTGGAACATCTATAGACAAACCATTAACAACTCCAGAAGAACGAAATAAAATTAGGGAAGCTATTACAAATGCTTCTTCCCTTGAAGAAGTGCAGCGTCTTAGTAAATTACTTCAAGCAGGACATATGCCTAGTGAAGATAGATTACAAAATGGTATAATACAAAATAATTAAAATTCATACAATATATTTATTATGTTTTAGATTATGAAAATATTTGATGGTTATTATTATAGGAAATACAATGCCTGAAGCAATGGAAGAAGAAGATGATTGAATTATTTTATATTTTTCAATTTTAAATACAACAAGAAAAATTTTTTCTATTATTATAAGTAAGTATTTGATTATATAAATGAAACTAGATGAAACTTTGATCATAGATGAAACTAAAAAGAGCTTGTTAAGCTAATAAGAAAGTATGTGCTACACAAATACATTAAAAAAAAAATCTTTCAAAAAATAAAATTATTAAATTCCCTAATTGGCCTGAAGCGATTTTTTAAAAATAATATTTATCATATAATTATAAATTTTATATATATTATTATTTATTTTTAATATATATATATATATGTTTATTTCAGTGAGATTTTAATAAACTTCATGATTAAAAAGATAATTGTTTTATGTGTGAATTCCTTTCTCATGTAAAACAATATTATTTTTAATAAATATATAATAAAAACATTGTAAATGTTTTTTATACATATAAGAATTTGTAAACGAATAATTTTTTTAGTAATGTTGTAAAAATAATTAAGAAAATTTATATTTGATATAAATTATTTGTTTATGTTAAATTACATAATATAGTATCACCAGAGGTCAGTATTGTGCGTTATTCGCACTCTCTTGATTCTATGTTATTTTTCCGATTATAATTTTATATTAATAAAATGGGTAATACATTACAAAAAGCGATAAGTTCAGATCCTTTTCCGGATTCGGAAAAACCAACATTTGATCCGATGTTCGGATTTTCCGGACAACGTAAACAAAGAGGCAAGTATTTTAATTGAACCTAACCTTCAATAAGTTTATTTTAGTTATTGATATTTTATATTTTATATGTGCTATGTTTATTTATTACACAATTATGTAAATGATTTAAAATTTGCTTCTATAGTGTTATTAATTTTTTGCTAGCATTTCATTATAATATTATTTTTTGATTCAATATTTTTCTCGTATTATAAATAATCCATTAATGACATAATCATACATTTGAAATTATTATAAGTTAATTTTCATGATTTTTATTAAAGATTTTATTTCATGTTTTTTGAGAACATATAAAATTATGAGTAACAAAAAGTAAAAAATATATTACATATATATAAAACAGTTTTATTTTATTATTATTATTATATAATGCATTCTTATTTAAATATATAATATTATAATATTATATATTATGTATTATAATAGAATATATAATATTAAAAAAAATACATATATTACTTAATTATATATGTCTAATTATACATACAATTATGTCTAGTTATAATGTCACATTACAGTTATGCCTGTATCAGAAGAAGATATGATAGCTGCTAAAATTCCACATGATTTAAGAGATTATTGTGCTCATCTTTATTTAAATTATATCCGGTGTTATATGGAAAAATTCCCTTTTGTAACCCGTTGTGTAACAGAAATACATGATCATCAAAAGTGTGAATATGATGAGTAAGTCTTAATTAAATTACTTATAAGAAATAAAATTAAATTAAATTATAAGAAATATTGCTATTATTTTTATTATTGGTTGATGTTTATTATAAAGAATTTTTAATTATAATTTATGTTACAGTTATATTTTAAGAGGGAAAGAATATGAAAGAGAACGTAGACTTCTCGTTAGAGAACGCAATAGGCAAGAAGCTTTGAAAACAGCAGCTTAGATTTTAGATTTATTCAAAATTGTATACATGTATACATTTAGATTAGATTGTGAAAGAGCAATTAATAAAGAATTTAAGATATAAATTATTAAAAACTATGTAAATATTTTCATTATTATAATAATTCTTATTCATATTTTATATTTTTATATTTAAAATATGTTAAACAGGATTTTTTTTCTTATTTATATTAATTTATATTAATTTTAATAATTTTTTTATAATTTTTGTTTTTAAATTAGAGAAATAATATCGATTATTTCTCTATATAAATAAACTACTATCGAAATTAGTATTATATTTGTTATTAAAATTTTATGTTATAAAAAGAATTTCAAAATTTTTACTTTTCTTTCTCTCTCTATCTCTATTTCGTTAATATTTTATTAATATGATTATATATTAAGGATAGGTTACATTGTGCAAGTAATTCAATATTTATTCATATTACAAAAAAAAAAAAATAATAAAAGAATTACATATTTACAAAATATTATTACGCTTATATTTTATCACGTATATAAATAACTTAGAATGAAGCTTGATCAATCCCTAAAAAAAATAATCACATTGTTAAGAGATAAATTCGTCTTTTTTACCTGTAAATTCGAGATGAGTATATCTGTCATCTCTTTGGAAGGGATGAATTTATGGAAGAATCAATAGGTAGAAAGTATCTCTATTCGACAGATTTCCGGATAAAGGAAAGATATTTGTCAGAGAGGTTGTTCATTAATGTTCCAGCGTTTCGACGTTTTCTTATAAAAAAAATGAAACAAGTGATAATTTTTAATGAGTAGTTTCAAGAAACTTCATTGTGCAGTATTTATATGTTTTTCAAGAAATGTACAAGTGTCAATATTGTCCTTATCAATATCTTTATTGAAATATGTTATCCTTTCAATGCCAATTGTTTTTATTCAACAATATATAATTTTTAGTATTTATTGTATTGTGTCAGAAATACATAAGATTAAAATATAATAATTTCGCGATAATTTGTGAAATAAATATAAAGGTAAATATATCACTTCACTATTTTACTATTTTTTATTTATTTATTCCATATGTTGCAAGTGTGAATATATATTTAAAAATGTGACTTATAATTCATGAAGTTTCTTTAAATACTCACAAATATGTTATAAAAAGTAATAAAAGTAATAACAATAAAATATAATAAAAGAATATAAATACATACAAATTTAAACAGAAGATTGAGCTTGAAAATTCATGAGATGAGCCATTATAATTACATACATTAGAATGTTTATTAAATTAAGTATTTTTTTTCAAACGAATTAATCTTTTTCTTTTTCTTCTGAAAGATAGATAAAAAAATTCATTTGTACATATATTTATTGTAAAACAAATAGCTCAAAACAAGTAGTATATTAAATAAAACTGTGATGCTTACTAAAACTAATTATATATTTACAGTAAATCTTAATTATAAATCCGACGATAAGTAAAAAGTGCATTAAAGTAAATTAACGACTAAGTAAGACCGATCGATGTATCGAATTATATATATATATATATTTTTAAATTTTCATATACTACTTTTTCATATGAATATGTATTATAAAACGAATTAAACTTGATTGTTTTTAGTGAAAACTTTAATTCATTCTTTTTAACAAAAATATAAATTTCAATGATAACCTTGAATACATAATCGGTCAAAATTTTCTTAAAAATAAGTGCTTTGAAAGCCCTGGTCTGAGCTTTTTGCGAGACCTGAGATATCCTGCGGAGGATATAAAATAATATATAAAATATATAATCTTCTTCCATACGGAAGGAATCTATAAACTCTACTCCGATCGAATAATCACTTCGATCTTTCAAATGGTCGAATTCATGAATCGATCTTTCTTAAATATTTTCTTATATTTTTTTTTATATTATTTATATTATATTTATTTATATTCTTTTGCAAAAAAATACGAAATTTTTTTTTATATTTTTTGAGGATACGAAATTTTAATAATAATTAAATAATAATTTACAAAAATTTGAAATTTTTTTTTATAATCGATTCGTGATAATCGAACATATATGCGTGATCAAAAGATCGATGTGTTGAAATGTATCGGAGGTAAATTTGGGATAATAATGTCCATCGTGTTTAATCGTTCTTCAGTTCCTTCATCGTTCTGTCGTTATTGTACGCTCGTCGATAAAAATCTGAGAAAAGGATGAAGAAGATTGTTGAATGAAGCAGTAAAAGTGCCGCTACTAATTTTGGATAACCGCAATCGAATACCAAAGCTTGGGTGCTATGTACGAACACCAGAAAGAATTGTACCTGTAAATGAAAAAAGGATACATATATAAGGGTGAGTCGAATTATATATTCTTTTTTCCTGAAAATTTATTGATATCATTTAAAAATACAATAATGTTTGCTTAAATTCCAATTGAAATTTCTTGCCTAAATTTCAATGATTCAGTTTTATCATTATTTTATGCCAGGTATAGGATAAGATATAGGATAAGGATTAGATATAGGATAAAACAGCGATAGTGAGAGTAAGAAAAAAGAATAGAAATATATAAGAGAATAAGAAAAAAGAAAGAAATAATATATTTTCAAATAAATGGCATCGAAATATTTAATTACAAAATTGCATTGCTATAATTTTTATTTTATTTTTTTAATAATTCAATGTTTTTAATAATTCAACATATTGGAATTTAATTATTTAGAATTTTTCACAATCTAAATTATATATGACAACAATAAATTGAATAACTGAATGATATATGATTTATTATCGTAATAATAACACAAGAATAATCAGCTATATGATCGGATAAAATTTTAGTTCATATAATTATATATATCATAAAATTTTTGTTCATATAAGTTATAATTAAGGGATAAATTATAATTAACTACTAAAATTTTATTTATATTTAAATAGAATTTTATATATACTTAAATAGAATTTGTATAAAAGTTATTCATTTGTATAAATATTTCATTTATATCTACAATATTTGTTCGATCTAACCTCAAAATTGCCATCTTCGATTCAAGTTTACTATCTTTTCAATGTTGATATAGAAACTTTATGCATATTCAATACAAATTTTCTGATTTCGATTTTATTAAAAATATTTTCGAATTGATAGAAATAAATTAATTTTTTTATTAATTTATAATAAAAAGGTATTTTAAATTATCTTTTACCTTTTTATCTTTTATAGTATAAAATAACAATTATGTTTCCTACTCGCATATATCACTTGAAACGTTCTGTACAAATTAAAATTCGAAAAAAATATAAAAATAATTTAGGTATAAAATTGTTCTGCATCAGAAAAATGAATGAATAGTTTTTCTAACCTCACGATTTATTCGAAACGAATTGAATGGTTGCGGAATATCCTGGAAAAGAATCGACGAAGATAACCTCAAATGTAAATGAAGTAGGGAGAGTCACTTGCATTGTATGGGAAAGGACAACACGAGTTTTCCTTATGTATTTTATGCCGATGTACGAGAAATTAATGAATCTTACGAGTTAAATAAGATACGCTTTGCTAGGTGAGGCTTCATAGTCATATTATCGTTTCACTGTAACACAAAGCCTAACTGCAATACTGTTCTGGTAGAGGACACTATACGATATATTGGAATGCCAAATTACGCCATCGCGACCGAGTCCAAAGCAAGTCAACCTGTAATTGCCCAACGTTTGTACTTTTCACTTTCCTTCGTTCCTACCATGTGTTTGTGAGAAATTTTGTTTATCGACTTGTACGAGTAGCCAACAATGATTCAGGATTTCGCGAAAATATTGTTATTGTCGATATTGACTCCACGCCGAATATAGTTGAGATACATCTTTATAGAAAGTAGCTTAAAATTGAAAATATTCTATATGTAAATAAAAATCTTGTGACAATTGGACAATTTAATTTTTTTAAATGATTTATTGTAGTTATGACTATTACTGATATATTGTATATTGTTTCTGTGAAAAATATTGTAGATATTTGTATATATTTAATTATTTCTTTCTTGATAAATTTTCTTTAATAAAATCTAAGAGAAAGATTTAACTTAGATTTCCATTTATTGGATTATTATCTTCTGAAGAACAAAGATTATTATTTTGATTACTAATAGCTATTTAATGATTTTTGTTGTAAGATGTTGGATAGATTGAAAGATGGAAGTAGTTGAAAGGGACAATTAATCAAAAAGTTTTACTGTATTTTCGATTTTGAAGTTACAAATTGATTAAAAAAAATTATGAAAATATACGTTAACATTAACTGAAATGTTAAAATATCAAGAGATGATAATCATTAATAAAAAAATTCTTTTCATTGACTTTCATTAGTAAAAGATTAAAAGTTTAAGTTTCATTTAAATATAATTATTAATAAAAAAATTCTTGAATTTTTCATTGATTTTCATTAATAAGAAATTAAATCATTTAATTTTCAATGAATCAATGTTTAATAAACGAAGATTATTAATATTCATTTCTTTTAAATGCTATTTTTTGTAATAGTTTTTTTATTACTTTTTTCTCCCATTTTTGAAAGAATGTGTAAATTTAAAGAATATATAAATTGTTTTTTTTTTGAGATATGTAAATTGTATTAATATTGACACATGTGTATGAGATGTTGTTAATCAGTGAAATCTGAACACCAATGCTGAAATGGCGCGCATATGCAAACATTATAGTCGATGTGTCGTGGTTCCGTTCACTTTCATCAAATGCAGATTATTATCTAGCCCAACTGCAACATGCACGTTGTGCAAGAAGAAGGTATCGCGAATTTCATTCTAAAATATATTTGACGCTATTGGACATTTAAGTATTGCGCGATTTAATCATTTGTGCTCAGGGATTGGAACTACGTGCCAATCCTAAATCTGATTTCGAAGATTAAGAAATCATTAATCTCTATCTAAAAAAATATTTATTATTATTTTTATTATTATTATTTATTATTTCTTTTCCTTCTCTGTTTATTCTTTTATTTTTTATTTATTATTAACTAGAAATTTCATGTCTTTTTAAACAGTATTTTCTAACCTCTTCTGAATTCTAAAAAAGTCATTGCCTATAATTGATAATTGATAGTGATCTCTTTAAAACTATGGACGAGATATTTTGTAATTAAAAACATTATCGTTTGTATGATATAACACGAATAATCTGAATATTATTCATCGAATTGAAACATGAATTTATTCAAGAAATTTTTGAAAAATATCGTTTCACAAATGGATATTATTATTATATTAATAATAAAAATTATTTTTGGATAGCCATTTGTAATGCATTTGTAAAAAATATTTTTCAAAGCAAATCTCAAAAATTTTTCTCTTAAATATATTCGTGTTTTAAGGATAAGATTAATATCTTCGCAAGATCTCATCTGTATTGTATAAACTATATTAGTTGCCTTAGAATATCTTGCTTATGGTTAAGAAACATTTATCTTTCTTGTGCCTTACGACCATTTTTTAGAGGTTAGGAACGTATCGTAAAAAATATAGTTGTATTGATATTGATTGTGTTTCTTTTTTCTTGCAATGTATTTTCGAATTTATTTTTATATATCTTTATGAATCTCTTGCTAAAGCTAAATGAACTTAGTCAAAATGATATCGATTCTATTATTCAAAAGATAAAGTGTATATCATTTTTTTTTCTTGGATATTTGAAATATATTGATATTTCTAAGCATGTGAGATGCATTGCTTTTTGTATTGCAGATCGAAGTGTAAATGATTGCATCTGCAGATGCACATCTCTTAAAAATGATGAAGAAAATTTTGCAACTTGCAATTTATTGGTGAACGTGAGACTAAATACCATTCATTTTGACGTAATAAAATCCTTTCTCTTTTTTTTTTCTTCTCTATTGCCTGTATTTACTTGTATCAATGTAATATCTATGATGTTACCACATAAATATTATCTTAATAATATATTACTTTAGTTCTTCTATTTTAGTTTTTGTGAAAAAATAAAAGTATTTTATTTCTTAACTTGAAAACAATAATTGAAAATAACATTTCTTCCCCATAAAACAAGAATTCATTAATATTTTTATTTCGATCGAATAAAGAAATCTTGTTTCTCTTAAATACATATTGTTTCGAAACATGATTTTGTATCTATTTATCAAAAGAATTTTTTTATTTGCTTAGATCAATTGTTGTTAAACTTCATCAATTCCAAAACTTTTATATCCTCTGTATTTTACATATAGACATTTAACTATTGATTTTCTTTAAAATTTACTTAAATTGTGAGAATAATAATCTAAAACGTGTCAATATATTTTAGAATACTTTTAAAAGATCGATTCTAGAAGCCAAGAGAACATGACATGTTATTTCGATTATTTGCTCAAATTTGACTTGATTCTTTGATGGCACATACCCAACACTACTGCCACATTTTCAAATAACAAGTGACAGATCATTTTTTAAAATTGATATAATGATAAATTATTAAAAATTATTGAATTATTTTTAATGTTGATATAGATATTTAAAAATATTCATAAACTTATTAACAAGATAGAATTATGAAAAAATGCCACGTTTCTTTGTTTAAAATGATATACCTACCAATTGTACGGTAGTGAGATGTTTCTTCCACCATAAGTATTTTTGATATTCCGGTCCCATAGCAGATACCATGTAGTAAAGGTACATTATTACATGCACCGCGTTATTTATAAGGTTTCCCAAAGTACCATGTCCCCCAGGAATGAATTTTACGCAGATCCATGTCTCCAGAGGAGTCAGTGAGTGATGATACAGATGCAAAAATGTCACCTGGCTCTCCTTCTTGCGCAAAACGAAAAATATCTGAAAATTTGTGGAATAGATTAAAAAAAATGATGAAATTAATACCAATGGGCAATTTTTCTATTATTAATAAAATAAGTTTATTTTTTACTTTCATTATTAATATCGAATTATTATTATTTTTATTATCAATATTATAATTTTCATTATTAAGAAAATGAAAAGACTTATTATTCTCATTGTTTATTATTAATTTAAATGATTATTAATTGAAATAACAATTCATTAAATGTAACGAATAATAAATAATAATGAAAATAATAAAACTACTTATTAGCTATTATATGAATGATGAAAATTATTATGAAATTAGCATGAAATTTTCATTAAAAATAATGAAGTTCATTTTTTACAAAAAAAAAAAAAAATAAAAAGCATTTGATTAATTTGATTACAATCTCTATTTTACTCAGTCTAAGATCTTTGTTTCGCAAGAAAAATCATAACAAGCTTAAATACGAAGATTTTATCATGGACAAAATAGTTTCTCTCTCGCGACACACTTGTTTTCGATTCGTAAAAGATCGGTAAAAACAGTGTTCTGTATCATAATAATAGGCTGTAACGAGGCAGATACCATTTCTGCCTCAGTGATCGATTTCTATGACGAAAGAAATTCGGGAAATAACTCTATACAATTGTCTGGCATCGAAAATGTTTTGATCAGAGATGGATTGAAATTACATTTTTAGATTTTTAAAACTAATTAAATTTAAAACTAGTTTTTTTTTTTTTTAGAATCACAAAGTTAGATTTGAAATCAATCGATAATAAGTATTCTTTTGGCTTGTGAAAATTAGATTATTACGAGATAGTAATCAGAATTCGAATTTTATATTTATATTTTTATTTTATATTTATATTTATATTTTTTGAAAGCTTTAAGATATTGACTTATAGAAATTTTCAAATTCAGATTCAGTGATTAGCAATAATTTTTTTTTTTTTTGCTTGTAAGAAATTAAGATTTGAAAAAAAATTTCTCGAATTTTTTCAACTTAAGTTTATAATTAGTCGATTAACGACAACAATAATTTTACATAATACATAGTTCAACAGTATGTTTTTTTGACTTGCAAATTAAAATTAACATTGAAGAATTCGAAAGATTCGATTTCGATTATTTATTCCTATTTTTTGATCGATTCCATCTAATTCCATGTTTTTGATATTAACAATTCAATTCTTTTACGTACCGTGTCAGCGAATTCCGTGAATTTGCTGATGAAGTACCACCAACATAAATTAGCCATTCGTAGCGCGGACGGATTATGAGAGTAATCGACTGGTTGACACTTGTAACTGTAGTCTAATAACCAACCGGACATCAAGTGCTGTAAAACGCAGAAGTTCAAGGTTAAGGTATTGTTTTCTAGGTTTAATGATAATTATATAATTATGTAAGCAATGTGAACGAGTTTAATAACCTAACCTCATTAATATTTATATTGAAGTGAGACAAAGATTTAGTAGAGGAAAAAATATTGGCTTAGTGTTTAGCAAAGTTGAAATATATAAGATAGATTTTTGAAATAGATAATCTAAATAAGTAAAAATAAATGGGAATATTATTTTGAAATTATAGTATTTCGTTCAAAGAAGAATATTTCAAATAGTTAAAATAAATTTTAATATATTAACGTCATTACTAGTGTAATATATAAATAACGTAATATATAAATAATTCAAGTTATTTTTTAATATCCAAATAATAAAAAATTAAAAATAGTTATAACTAATGCAAACTTAAATTGCTCAGTATATTATATTATTATATATATTATCAATAATTAATTTGCATATGAATTTTTGCATTTGTTTGTTTGTATTTTGGATCTCTTTAAAATATAAAAGTTGGAAAATGTTTATTCGAAATATATTATTATTTCCTCATGTATTGGGAAACTACTTATTAAAATATTATTACACATTGTTTGAAACATTGTTCGTTCTATTTTTTTAAACAATATCATAATCGAAGAAATAAAAATTATCTATTTCAAAAATCTACAGTAATTTAACATCGATTTACGATTAATGAAACGAAATTGCACCATCGATTACTATCGTTTGCACGATACATTTTCACAAATAGCACGTAATGAAAAGTTTATTCTCAATTTTGTAATTTCTCGTTGGTGAAAAAAGTTTTTTTTTTCGACTTGACGCATATTATTGACTCAACGCTTCGATTTCCCAATTACGATTTAATTATTTAAAAATCACCGCTTCCACTAAGAGAATAATAGGATAACTTTCCTTCCAGTTTTATTTTAACGATCATAAGGTGCGTATAGTGTAACTACTTGGCAACGTAATTTTTTTAACGAAATATTTCGAAATGGCTATCCATATACGTATATACATACATATAAACAGGATACACGATATACACAGATACACGAAGTTACTTATTCCTTTCGAAATCAAATTGGAATTTTTCTTTTTTCTGCGACAAGTTTCTATTCAAATCATCACGGAAATAGTTAATTCGAATGAAATTCAGCCCGTAAAAGTATTTAAATAAATCTTTTACGATCATTTATTATTTTGTTAATGTGTTCCAGATTTTTGTCGAATATATGACCATATGAAAATTAGGAAGAATAAAAATGAATTCTTCATTCTGATATATTCTTTTTTCGTAGATTAGAAATTAATATAAATAAATATAAATAAGCAGATATTTTTATAGAAATATCGAATTAATTTATACATGTATAACACGAAAAAAGTTGAAAATCGTTATCGTATAAAACATCGTAATCGCTCGACTTTCTTGATATCCAATTATTTCTTTTTTTTTTTTTTTTTTCAACTCAGCATCGAGAAGGTAATCTAGCAACTTTCTAAGGTGATCCTCGACATCTTTTATAATGTTCTTTCAAGAAGATACGTTCCAGTTTTGTGCTGATTTGGATTGAGATATTGATTACTTATTTATATGTACAGTTTACTATATACATATGTACATATATTTAATGACACTTTGAAGCTTCTCTAATATTGTTTAAGAAATCGATTCTTTACGAAGAATTATTTCATTTGATGGATAATCGTAAAAGTTAATTCACTATGATACTTGAACTAATCATTAATGTGCTATTATGTGTATATATATATATGTATAATTTAATATAGCAATATAGATATACAAAATTATTGATTCAAGCTAATTTATTTATTATAAGTTATTTATTCTATCTAGATTTTCGTAAATTTAATAAACAATCTTTAATTTGATATTTTTTCATATAAAATTTTATTAAAATTTCTAGAATTCATTACTTCACGAATATATTAATATACAGAATATCCTAAAAATTGAGATAATTTCAAGGAATATTTTCCTTTGCAAAAACTTTCGTTTTCGTCTTTGATGACGAATTATTAACAAAAGATACTGACCAATCACAAAGCATGTAATCTAGACGAGTCGCGGCAATAGCGTTAGCTACGTTGCCGACCGAATAAATCCAAATAACATATCTCGTGTTATAACAATGTGTTATAACAAATATTTTTTCAATAATTTTTGATAAGAAATTATATCACGAACAACGAATAAATAAATAAATAAATAATATTTGATACACTTTCTTCGTCGTTTTAGACTCGTGATTGGTGACAATACTTAGCCAACGCTATTATTGGGTAGATTACGTGCTTCGTGATTTTCCAGTGTTTTTTATTAATAAAGCTAGAACGAAAATTTTTGCAAAAAAAAATATTGCTTGAAATTACAATATTTTTTATTTTATTTAATTAAAATAATATTTCATTATAAATAATATTATAATAAATGTCAATATTACAAATAATAATTCTTACATTATAAAAGATATTATTTTGAAAAGAAGAACGATTATTGCAATGATAATTTAATTTTTAGAAAATTTCTCGATTCTCGGTTAACTAAACCGTTTACTTTGTTGTTTTTATTGGATGCATGAATAATGCGCAAAAGTTTCGTGGAAAAATTTCGAAAATACGATGCCTTCCTTTAACAAATCGCCAGCTCGAGTGTAAATCTATTGAGCAATTCGTTTTTGAATCGGATAAACTTTTCCCCTTTTGCAACACCATGTTTCCACGGATATACCTTTCTCACCCCTGTCTTTCATTAGTGTAGTTATCATGAAAATCGATCGTCACGGCTGTTGTCCTCTTTCAAAATTTCTGAGACAAATTAAATGAAATAGAAATTCTATAGTTTCTTTTATTTTATTTTTCGTGCGTTTTTCGAGAAAGAACCAGATAACGGACTAGGCAAACTATCACACTGTTCATCACATTATTGACAGAAGATGGAAAAGATTGTTTGATTGAACAGAAAGAGGTTAGGTTAGTATATCTATACGAAACTGCTATGCTCTCGATTCATTTTTATTTCGAATAATCTTTTTCGTATCACTATTTCAGAAATGCTCTATTTCATTTATACTTTACGAGGGAAATTTGTTATTTATACGAATTCAACGCAATACATTATTGTACAATAACCTGTCCCGTCTTCGATTTGATAGACGAGTTAATTAACAAAAATTGTGTCGGAGAAGGGAACGTTTGGCGCAATGTTTCTTGCTTTTAATCATAGCTCAAACTCTTGATTAATAGCGAACACTTTCGATCAAGAATTTGCTTTATTAATGCATGCGTTGCAATAGAGTGAAAATCGTTTCGGTCTCTTACCGATTCTACCTTACTCGTTAGAAGGCATAAACTTGAGAATGTTTCGCGACGAATGTTATTGTTAAACTGTTCAAATATAGATATACTTTTTATTAAAGAATCATTTGGATCATTTGTTTCGAAATGATGGTAAAAAAAAAAGACGATTGAATACGTTTTTTTATATTTAGATTTATATTTCTTAATCACATTCAACTTGATTCCAAATTGCTATAGATTTGGAAAAACTATCTGGTAAATATCGTAGCAATAATTTTTATCGTGACGTCACATTATGTATTTTTGTATTTGAAATTAAATAAAATCGTATAAGTGATAGAAATTCATAATTCGTAATTAAATTCGTAAAAGTTCTTTCATTCTTCGTTTCGTCAAACAGACAAGAAAATTTTCTTAAATTTAAATATGCGATTTAAATATGCGAGTTTAACGTTTCATAACCTAGCATCATCTTTTTCTCCATCGCAATAAATTTCATCTGTCCTTCGATTTTTTTTTTTACTTCGATCCAATGTACGAAATCACTTCTCTCACAAGGCCAGAGATCCAAAATTGTGATGAAAACATAACGGTTAAGGATTTCGATCGAAATTGAGGTGTAAAACGAACGAATCCGGTGTGAATGACCGACGTGTTTCAAAGGACGCGTGGTTTCTCGAGTCATCTTGATCACGAGGTATATCTGATTCCGTGGACTTTGCTCTGGTGAGATTCGATAGAGGGCGCTTGCGAAACGCGACATTCCAACTTACACTCGATTAAGAAACTCTCTGTGCACGTTGAGTGAGCTCAACTGATTATTAATTTTGGATTTATGGATTTTTATGAAAGTTTGTGCAGGCATGTAATAAATGTGTACGTGCAAAGTAGAAAGGAGGACAGATTCATTTTGATTTTTGAATTATTACTATAATGTAACTCGTATAATGAGTTGGAAAATAGTCGATGAAAAGATTTGATATAGATTTGTTTTTTTTTCCTTATCTAATATACAATGGAATAGAAAGAATGGAAGAGTTTAGAAAAATTTCAGTATTCTTTGAATTTTCTTGAAATATTTTGAAGTTTCTTGAAATATAAGCTTGCAAATGTAAATTTTAGATTCATGTTTTTGTCTAAATATATGAAATTTAAATTTTAATGTATTATAAAAATATTTTCAAAACTCAAAGAGATCTTTTGAAAATAAAATTATTCTATACCAAATCATTCAAATGAAATGATAAATAATTTCGTTGGATGTCAAAATATACAGCTTTTCATCGTGGTCCAATAAATCCAAATACACTTAAGTATTTCCCAAAAGTATTTTGATATTTATGTAATTTTAAACAGTTTAATTTTAAAATTATTTTTCATTATCATTACTTTTTTTAACAATTTATCATCAGTTTTTCGTTTTAGTTTCGATGAAATAAAATTTTAAACACTTCCAATTAATATTACAGAATAAACTCAAAATACACTTTTCCACATTTAATACATCGTAAAAATTGAAGAAATATTTTACTCGTGTCTGGATATTTTTCTCAGCAACTAGAACATTAATGTTAAACAGTAGCAGCTATTGTGATCGTTTATCGACGAAAAAGACCATTCGAATCACCGGCTACATGGCTGTGCAAGTGCTAATGGCTAAGCGCTTTCACTGTTACACTTCGAACTGACTCGTGACTTAACAAAATCCGACTGGTATTTTCATTCGACCCACTTGTATTCGTGATCTTCTTCGGAGAGAGGCGAAGAAGCATCTAATGCACATTCTCATACGTCTTTTGAATACCTTTGATGCATCAGATTAGCGTTTTAAAGAAAGCCTATTGAGTTCCGAAACGTTCTCGAACCTTCTAGCAAATTTAATTTAATTTTTATTTTTAAATGTATTTTTATTTTATACTTTTTCATGAAATATATTAATGATAATAGTTATGATAAAATAGGTTATGATAAAATAGACAAAATAATAGTTTTGGAGATGATGAATCATTTTTTTCAAAATTAAATTGTGACTGTGTAATTAATGGATAAAGTTTAATAGTTTTTTGTTTACAATATAATGCATTCAATGGACTTATACACAATGTTCAATATAAAATTACTATATGATTTTATTTATATTTAATTTAATATATTAGATATATCTTTGATCTGATTGTAATTCCTTCTTATTTGGTTTCAATTATCATATTTTTAAAAGTTAGATTAACAGACTAGATAATATTTAAAGAATTTTAGGTTAGAAATCAATAGAAATGATTTAAATTGATCTGCTCTAGATTCCATAAAATAGTAGTGTAATATATTTAATTTGTATTTATAAAAAAGTACTTGACTTTTGCTTATCATTTATAATTGTTATAACATAGTGTAAGGATTCTAATGAAATTCTAGCAATTTCTAAATAAGGAATTCAAAGAGGTAGCCGCATTAGGAAAAATATTTTGATGCCTTTAAGTCTCTCTTTTCGCTTTAGATGATGAAATCTGTTTTACATTCCTACTAGTTTTGTGATCATGTGTACCATTGCGTGCTTTAATCAACATCAGATTTTAATGAATCTTGAAGAAAAAAGAACTCGTGAACTATTTCCTAAATACATCTATCCAAATAAATTCTAACTCTTTACAAATCCAACGTGTTAAAAAAATACTTGCAAAATAAATTTGAAATTTAAATAAACTACTTTACACGAAATTCTCCACACTTAATTCTCCTTACTTAAAAGAGAATAATTCTTGTGATTTTAAACAATTCATTCCAATATGGAAATATTTGTTCACATTTATTATACATTTTATTTCACAATATATTATAAAAAAAAAAAAATATTCAAAAATCAATTTGCACTATACAACAATCTCTTTCACCTTTCGACAAATCAATTAAACAAAATTACCTAAACAATTCAATTGATTAATTGATCAATATTTCTCCAAAATATCTGTTTCTCTATCACTCGATCCCAACATTTCTTACCTCGTAGAGCATCCCCAACGAGAAGATCACTTGGAACGCATTATACGCGACCAAGGTCCCCCTCAGCTTGAACGGTTTCCTATTCGCCATCACGCGTGGACCCAGTATCGTCACTCCATACAAATAGAGAAGGACGATGAGAAATGTTGGTATCGGCGAGTCCATCAAGGGCCAGTCACTGACCCGTGGATCGGAAACCGTTGTAAGGATTTCCGTGTACTGGTCCAACGCCATCTTGACCAGCCCTTGGGCGCCCACGAACGTTCGATTCGTATCCGCCATCTCGATTCTCGATTCCAATTCCCTCTCCACCACCAACTCCGCTGCCGCCGACGCCATTTCTGAAAACAAGATCGGGCAGGTGTTAAAGTACATCACATGATAAAGTATCGAAGATTTCAGTATTCGTTGTATCGAAGTTAGTTTTTTAAAATTGATTAGAGAGGACAAAGAGACAAGTGTTATTTCTAAGGATGGTGGCCTTTTTCTATTTCTATTTCTGTATTCTTAAATTTTGTAATTATTGTGATTTTCATCTCTCTTGGTATTTTCCTCCTCTTAATCAGAATGTGAAAAATTTTGTAATAAACCTAAGAGTGGTTTTATAAATTTAATGTATTGGCTTTAAAATGGCAATTTATTGTATGCTCTAGGTGGCTCTCACTTCGTTTAATTATAAATATTTAATCTAACCTAACCTTAATAATCGGTATATCAATTTTTATATTTGTTATTTGATCCGTGGAATTTATTTTCACAAACGATTTTTATCACAATAAATATGATTTTTAATACAATAAATTCAACTAAAATTTAATTCGATGTTTAATATAATTTTTTTTATTTATAATTTAAAATTATTAAAATTAATTTATAATTAATTTTATATATGTATATATGTGTTTTATCAAAGATAGATTTATACGTAATTATAAAGTTGTTGAAAAAAAGAAACTCGTATTTCAAGAAAAACAATTGTGAAACACAGAGCATTGAAAGTAAAACGCGACAGGTCAAAAGATCGTCATCCTTGTATTGTCTATAATAGCAATGTCTGATTAAGAAACTGCCCATTCTTCCTCCTTAGAATCGCGTTTATTTTTTATTTATTCTCTTGACACTGAGTGATTAATCAACTGTCAGAGAATGCAACGTGGTTACGATTGATAATATATTGCAACAGGGTTTGATGACTGACAATGAGTCTGTTTCTCTTCTGAATCATTATCATCATCATCATCATTATCATTATCATTATCATCGTGTTTCACTTCCATCTCGATTTTCTTCTTCGGTGTCGAGCAATATTAATTTTTATTGACTTTTACAATCTCTTGGAATTTCTATCGAATATATCTCATCATTCGTAATAAAATAATGCTGATATTGAAAATGTTATTTTTGCATTTGCAGATTCTTTAAGATGTTAATTAAGTAGATTTTTGTGATATATATCATATATATAAAACTATTGGATTTAATTTATTGTTATTATCTAATAAATATAAAAAATTATTCATCTCCATTTTATTATAATTTTTCACATTTTCATAAGAAGTTGTGCAAGCATTCTTATGAGCTTGTATGAATTTAATATTGCCGTAATATCATTCGTAACCCGTTTTTAGCTCTCCGATCTACAAAAAAGTTGACCTCCATTTTTCTTAATTACAATGAATTCGAATTTACTCCATATCGATAGAATGTGTAGAAAATAAATAAATAAATATATTATTTTTGTCTCTTCAATCAATATACTTTGTTTTGTTTTCAAGACTATTATATCGAATACAATAATGTTTTTGTCATTTAATTTATTTGAAATCGAATTACTTGAACAATGATAAGTAAAATTAATTAAATTAATTCACTTAGCTCAATAGATAATATAATTTAAAAATCACATTGATATTAACAATATAATTTATTAATAAACAAATTGTAACAATTTTATGTAATATTACACGTTCGAAACGTCTAATCGTATTGCATAATTGTGATGAGAATGATGGAACGATAATGATGTTACTTATGAATAATAATATTTTCCAATGAATGAGAAATTGGATAATTAGAATTAATTGAATATCCAAGCTGTCTGGACGTCATTTAACTTTCGCTGTTCGAGATTCATTCACGATTGCTCGAGTTACTTGAGAATGTAAAAGATATATCGTTTTTATTATTATTATTATTATTTCTACAACTGCAAAATATTTCTTTATTTTGCGCTATCGCGATATTATATTCGTAACATTGAAGAAGATAATTTAACGAAAGAATTTTGTGGGACGTGGCTAATTTGAGTTCTACTTAATATGAAAGCGAAATATGAAAGCTTGAAAGTAGACAAAGTAGATAGATGGTAAAACTGAAACAAAAAAAAAAAAAAAAAATATTTATGCGTTCGAAACCAGTTCGAACATGTTCCATTATTATAGAATGTATTTAATTTATTTTATTTTAGTTTAAGTGTTTAGGTTAATAGTCGTAATTTTTTTTAATACATAATTATTGTTGTAAATAAATACTTGATTTAATCCTCTAAATTTTTATATAATTGTCTTCTTTTGAACTTAGTTAATTAGCTGATAATATATTGTACATGCTATATATTGTACGCACTAGCTACAATATAATATATATTCGAATATTCTCTTTCAAAACAAACACAAAAACGTTATTAAATATTTAAAATTTAAAGTACTTTTTTTTTTATTAGATCAACTATAGAAAAACTATAATTTTTAATAATTAATTTATGGGAATGGGAATGTCAATTGATTTTTTAAAATATTTCTTAAAAAATTCTGACAAAGCGTTATTATTATTATTTTTAAATTTTTTATGTTTAAATTTTCGCAATATTTTCGTGCTTGAAAACATTTCAATTATTTCTCGTCCTCTAAAATTTTCATCGATAAATATTTTATACGATCGAGAAAACAGGTTAACAGGCAACTATGACCAGCTTCAATTTTTTTCTCGCTCGAAATTGCATCACGCGAATTTCGTTATTGTACAAAAATCGAGTAACGTGGTGTTCGAGAAAATGGTATCGGCCCAATTGTTGTGAATGGCTTTTTGATCCAGTTATTCGACCAGCGCGCCATATATAACGAGATTCAAGAATGCGGTTTCGTGCATTCGACGCGTTAAACGATTTCGTGTGATAAATGATACGAAGAATCGATCCAAAATGTTTGATTATCTTTTGTATCCGTGTTACATAATTAATTTATCGACGCAGTAATTTATTTAAGAAGCTCTATTCGACGAAAGAGAAAGATTAATTTTTAGGTTAAGTTGTATATATATATATATATATATATATATATATATATATAGGTTAGGTTTCATTTATTGCATCATGGTATGGAATTTTTTTTGTTCAACTTGTTGAAACTTGAATTGAGAGTGCAATACAATTACAATTATGATTGTTTAAGCTATATTGTTTATATAGAAATTAAACTAGATTCGGTTGATTGATTCATTATCGCGTATAACAATTCTTTGTTTTTTAATAGAAGAGAAAAAAAAAAAAGGTATTAACTTTGTGTATAATTTCATATTATAATTAAATTTCTCACCGATTCCTTTGAAACCGACTTTATTGTCAATAACTGTCGTTCATAAATTACACGACAAAGCATCGTTAAATCCAGATACAGGCAATAATAGCATCTCTGTTGTATTGCAACAGAGATAACATGTTATACTAATTCAAGTTTTTAATAAAAGTTTTTTTTCTCTTTTTCCCCCTCTCTAAATAATCTAAATAATCTAAGGCTAAGAAATAGAAGATGGAGAAGACGTAAAGAAAAGTATTATTTCGAATAATGATCATGGAAGAACATATATCAAGGTCATTCAGTGAAATCACTTCCGTTCCAAATAAATTACTTTCAAAACATACTCTTCCTCTTTTTATATAAATATATACGCCTCTTGTAATTATAAAATTACAATTATACATTTTGTATAACGCGTCCCTTCCTCCGAATCGTGCTCAAAAATTCCCGATCCCGATACAAATCAATTCCGTTGTCGTTCTCGTTTCACCTGGGATGAACGGGACTCGTCACAGAGAAAGTCTCGTGGATCGCCTTATGTGTCCCGGTGGTGAGACGGTGGTAAAGCACGTCCATAAACGTTTCTCTGGAAAAGGAACAGGTGGAGAGAGAGAGAGGGAGGGGGGAAGGGGGGGGGGGATTCCTCTCGGAACGGGAGAAAGGAATTCGACGCAGGCCAATAACGATAACCGGCGGCCGATGATGACGGCTGAATGACGAGGATGATGCCCATCGGGAACGTGTCTAAAACTCGCTTGCTTAGAGTTTAGTGGGTAAGTGGGTCATCGATCCGGTTAAACGCCGATCGACCTTTACCTCGTCTCGTATCTCATACGTTGTCTCACGGTGTAGCCGGTTCCGTTCCTCTTCCTTCCGCCATCTTTGAATTCTTTTTTTTTTTTCTCTTTCCCTTCTTTCTCCTCCTCTTTCTTCCGAGTTTCTGGGGAAATTGGCGCGCACAGAGTACGGTACATGGTTAAAAAAAATTTCTGATATAGGTAATAGAGGATTTTTTTGTTTACTCGCGAATAGAGGGAGTGTTTGAGAATTTTTAGAAAGGTGGAAATTAATTTAATTTAATTTATGAAAGAGATGGATCGGCGATGTGCTTGCCGATTTCGATTGTTTGACAACTCTTGTAAAACTTTGTTTTGTCCTTGTATCGAATATGCTCGAAATATTTCTCTTCGTGGCATACGGTAGAAGGAAGAATTATCGATGTAGAATTATCAAAAAGATGAGAACTGTCTTATACGATATATTTCAAGTATAAACGAGAGTTTGGAATATCGAAAGAAATTTTTTAAAAACGAGTGAAAATCCATTGATTTTCTCCAAAGAAGCAAGAACACGGAATTAAGTGTTCGGTCTTTTAACTAAAAAGCGAGGGCGAAAAATAAAATGGCGGTGGAGCGAAGCCACTGATTGGTCGATCGACGATAATTTTCAAACAGCCGGTCGACGGATAGAAATTTGACGAAAAACGCGGCCATATTAATATATATATGTATATATACGAATGAATTTCACGAGCTAAGATTGAACGATGAGGTTAGGATCGTCGAAGAAACTAGAGAAAAACTGAGAAAAGCATAAATGCGCATGCGCAGTTAGAAAGATCGTTTGTTGCGCACAGAAGAGAAATTATCTTATTAATATAAGATGTCAATAGATATTCGCTACTATGGCTTTTTTTTACGCAAAAAGCCATAGAAATACGTTTATTATTAACATTACGAATTAGATACATTAGAGAAATTTTTAAA